CACACACGTGCTCGCACGTGCACATACCCTCACACAACATTCCTACACACACACGTGCGCTCCCATGTGCACATGCCCTCACACAACACTCCTACACACACATGTGCGCTCCCATGTGCACATGCCCTCACACAACACTCCTACACACACATGTGCGCTCCCATGTGCACATGCCCTCACACACAACACTCCTACACACACACGTGCGCTCCCATGTGCACATACCCTCACACAACACTCCTACACACACACGTGCGCTCCCATGTGCACATGCCCTCACACAACACTGCTACACACACACGTGCGCTCCCATGTGCACATACCCTCACACAACACTCCTACACACGTGCGCTCCCATGTGCACATGCCCCTCACCCACAATACACTTGCACATTCACTCACACAAACTCATACACACAACACATCTGGGGCCCTGGCTTCACCTCACATAACAGGCCACCTGTGGTAAAGCCTCACATGGGACCCCTCCCACCAGTCACTGACCCTGAGCCTCAGCGGAAAGACGTTGTGCACTGGATACAAGGGTGGGCGCTGGGAGGACACAACCAAGCCCAAATGGCCCAGTCTGACCCATGGTAACCTGGACACATAGCCCAGCCTGACCCCAGGTGGCAACCCCCACGCATGGCCCAGCCTGACCTCAGCCACATAGAGACCGCAGTCATAGCTGCCCAGGGCCTGACATGACCAAATGTCCTGCCTGCCCCACATCCTGGGTGCCAAGGCCCTGGTGAGAGGGGAGCCTGGGGGGCCGGGCAGGGCTGCCTGGGAGGAGGGAGAGATAGAGGAAAACTCAGAGCAGACACGCAGACTGAGGAGCTAGAAGGCAGGGTGGGGAGGGCGCGGAGGCACTAACATGGCGTTACTGGTGATGTCTGCGCTGACGTCGGCTGCAGAGATAATTCCACACCGGGTACATTTGAGGGTGGGCCCAAAGGGGGGCTCGGGCAGCGGACTGCAAGTGAAGTCAAAAGACTGAAACAAAACCAAGGGGTGGGGGCAAAATGAAAGAGCCAAACGAACCCCACCCAGGGCCAGTCCCAAGGCCAAGTGGGGACCCTACTGATGACCGAGTGCCTGGGGTCACGTGTGCTGGGGTGTGCAAGGCAGGACCACCGTGGTTCTACACCGAAGGATGGGACGCTGTCCAAGGTAGATTCCACAGATAGTCCAGCTCCTGGGAACCAGGCTGTCTGACCCAGCCCCGGGTCTGCCAGCTGCTCCAGGAGTTAGGACTGGCCTGGCAGCTGGGTGCCTGCAGGTCCGTGTGAGTGTACACATGTGTGCTTGTTTGTGTGAGCACGCACTTATGCACGTGGATGAGTGTACATGCGGCATGAGCACGGACCTGTGTGTGCTGCGCCTCCTTGTCCACATGGGGGCAGTTGGGGTCCAGCCCACTGCACACACCAGGACAGCCAGGGACCAGGCTTGGATCCCTGAATCACCAGCTCTGAAACTCTCTACACCCTGTCAGCTGGGCTGTGAGACAAGGGAGCTAACAAAAAAGCAGCAGGTGGGGGCACGCCACAGCACCCACCCACAGTGGGGAGGCGCACACCCATGTGCTGTGGAGGTGAGAGACAGTGGTCCTGGGGCCCTGCTGGCTTGGCCCAGTGCTAGACCATTAAGTAGACAGTTTTTGAGGCCCACGTCCATGTCACAGAACAGAAGCCCAGGGTTGGGAGGAGAACTTGGACCCTGTCCTTCAGAGCCACGCCCCCAGGTCAGCTGGGCAGGAACCCACTGGGGACCCATGGGGAAGGCTTCCTGAGCTTCTATTTAGGGGTGAGAAGGAGCCAGAGACAGAGACAGAGACAGAGGCACAGAGGGGTTGGGTGGAGGTCCTGGGGGCACACCAGGGGAGACACACACAGAGCAATAGCAGGGGAAGAGGCCAGAGGGGTGGGCAGGACAGAGGGGCCAACCTGAAGCTTCCCTGCACTGCCGGAATGACTTCGGCTCTCCCTGGGGGTGACCTGAAGAGTCAGGCACCCCCACTCGTCCCTGCCCACTGACCCCTCGGCCAGGGCACTGCCCCCTCTGTGGGGGCCACTCAGCCTGTCACGTAGAGAGATGGTGTCCTTGCTCGGGGCCATGCAACACAAGGTCAGCATGGTCACTGTGCTGCAGGACCTCACAGTGGGCATGCCTGGACGTGACCACCTCCCATCCCATGGTCTTGGTCCGGGGCAGGGTCTCTGGGAGCAGGCATGCCGGTTCTGAGGACCTAACAAGGCCATGTGGGGAAACTGAGACCCAGAGAGGCAGGCACAGAGATGAGCCCCAGGTCGGTTCCCACTCAGGGGGCGCGGCCACTCGCCCTACCCTGCCCGCTCCTTCAGCTTCTTGTCGGTGATACCGTCTTTGGACACAAGCCTGTTGAACACGAGGATCCCGATGACCATGTTCACCTGCCAGGCACAGGGGGGGTCAGCTGTATGCCGTCCCACCTGCCCCAGGAGCTCCTGGGCCGAAGGTCATATGACTCAAGCCTGCATGATCCCATTTTAGGGAAGTTCCACTGGCTCAGGCATCTCCACCCTCCCAGTGCACCCTGGGAACGGAGTGTTGGGGAGCTACTGGGGAAGGGGTTCCCTCACAATGGCTCTGGTTGGCGGCAGGGACATTAACATGCGTGGCACGAGCCTTCAAGGCAGAGGCACCTTCGAGGAATAAAGGCACTGGGCTGGGGAGAGAGGGAAGGAGGGAGGCCGCCAGATACTGCCCACCAGCAGGGTTCTGTCCTGAGCCCCACTAAGCATGGGCGCTCCTCCACGAGAGTGTCCTGCTGGGAGAAGGTTCTGGAAGTTCAGAAATTCCAGAGCACAGAGTGGGGGTGAGGGTCGGGAAGAAGGAAGGGTCTAGGATCTCCACGACTCCCTGTCCTGTCCTCAGAGCTTTCTCTGGGCTCTTCAGACCCATCTACACGTGGGGCTGTCTGCTCCTGCCTCAAGCAGACAGGTGAGGAAGAACAGAGGGGGAACCACAGAGCAAGTCGGGGGGCGGTAACCCAGGGCTAACCTGCCAGCTCCCTGCTGCTTCACCCCTCCACCACCACCCTCACACAATCATGACTCCGCACACCCATACGGGGCTCCTACTGGGTGAGGCTGACACCCACGGCTGTGCTTCTAAGAACAGGAGGTGCGGACCCAAAGCGGGGCCCCAGCAGGGGGGCTCCGAGAGGTGAGGGCTCAGTGGGGACTGGGGGTCAAGTCCTACCAGTACTACGGCCGCTGCAGGTCCCACGAAGGCATATAACAGGCCCCCCTCCAGAGAGAGCCAGCAGCTGGGGAGGGACAGGCTGGTTAGTTTGGGAGCCCCCACTCCACAAACACTGGGGTACTGGGCTCCTCAAACCAAGTGGGGCCAGAGGGGCAGAGGGAGGATGAAGGGCCCTTTCCTACCCCTGGCCTGAGACCTCTAGTCTCACAATCCCCACCCACAAGGGCCCATGGGACCCTCAAGCCCAGGAAGGCTCATCTGCCTGTACACAGGCTACCTATTAACAAACTTGTCTTTCTCCTTCAGAACCCATTTCATCATGCCCCACCCAATAGGCTGGTTACCCCTTCTCCTGTTCTGGGGATGGTCGTGTGCCCCTCCTACACTCACCCCATGGGGGCTTCTTTAACTTGTCCTCACCTATGTCCCCTCCCACTTAGCCTTCATCAGCCACGTGCCTGCCCCTCGCCCCTGTCCTGACCTTCCCCAGCCCTTGAAATCTCACTCTTGAGGATAAACCACCATAGGTTCCTTGGCTCAACACTCAAGGCCCCAGGACTTGGAGCCGGTTGGCCCGAGGGCCTTAGTGATGTTATCTGCACCTACCGTCCACACCTACTGTCCACTGGGGATTGAGCCGGATCATGGTGGGGAAGCTCAGAGGCCCATCATGGCTTTGTGGACAAGCCAGAAGCTCGGATGGTTCCAATACCAGGAGCTACGGAGCCCCAGCTGCCCCAGCTGTGAGGTGGGGGTGAGGGAGGCTGTGTGGGGTGGGGCGGGGCGGGGCACTCACTAGTTCATCGTGCTGTACCCTCTGGCCTTGGTGAATCCCACAGAGATGGCCACAACCAACGCAGGGAGGCCTGCCGGAGGGTCAGAAAAAATGGTATCAGTCCCCCAGCACCCCCGAGGACAGGGAGGTCCCGAGTATGAGAGACGTGGATGAGGGAGGGAGGGCTTGGACAAGAAGAGGACCGGAGGGGTCACTGCAGATTGGGCAAGTGAGACCAGTAGACGCCAGCCAGATAGGAAAGTCAGGTGACAAGGGTTTGTTCTTTGGCAGAAGTGCCTCCCAGACACGACACGGGCATGCTCTCGACTGGGCTCTGACGTGGTGACCTCATGGATAATGTAACGTGAGGGTGAGGTGCTCATGCCTTGTTCAGAATCTGAGCCTAAGGCTGTGGCCACTGTGTATCCTGACTGCCCTCCAGCCAGTGGGCTCCTCTTTCAGCACTCCACTGACCAGTGGTCCACTGTGACCCATAAGGCTTCCTTTCACTGCCTGACTTTCAGGCGATTGCCAGGCATTTCTTCCTAGTCTCTCTATGTCTGGAAGCTCCTCAGAGGCCTGCCCACTGTGGTATCGTTTCCAGCATCACAGCAGCACATTCACTAAGGCAGATTCGCTGTTCCCCTGTCTTCCCCATGTGACAAGCGTCCTGTGATTTTTCTTGTGCCCAACCATGCAGAGGGGGAGGCCAGAGGGATGTGCCATGGCTGGGGGCAGGAGGTGGGGCAAGGACAGGGTGGGGAAGGGATTGCAAGTGGCTGGGACAAGCTGCCCCGCCAGCCCGCTGCTCACCCCAGCCCAGGCACAGGAAACGCTTGCGGACGAGGCGGTGCCGGAGGCGGCCGGTCACGGCCATGTAGGACTGCCAGGCTTCCGTGAGTACCCAGCAAAATGAGGACAGGAAGAAGAAGTGCAGAAAGGCAGCCACCAGTGTGCACGCCACCTGGACAGGCAGCGGGTGAGGGCTGGACACGTATTCCTGGCCCCACGCCCACCCCAGGAGCCCAGCCGGAAGTGACCAGGGCCCTGGCCATGACTGCCAGAGACAGACACCTTACCCCACCATCCTCAGACGCCAGGCTGAGGAGCCCACCCAACAGGGGAAATCCATCCAGGCAGTAAGCCTGGGCCAAGAGAGGGCAAGCCCAGCTCCAGGCCACACTCCCACCCTGCCCCCCACCCCACACACCCAGGGAAGGCCCTGTCCCCAGCTGTCATCCTCTGCCCTCCTTCAGCCCCATGTCATGGAGGCTGGGGGGACAGGGCAGCCGGAGTGGGGACACGATATGGGCACCTCAAGGAACACTGGCCTGGGGCCATGTCACATCCTGCCACATTCAAAGGCTGGTGGGGTGGGAGTGGGGAGGCAGGGATAGGTGGGCATGGGAGTCTGGGCAGCAGGGCACCAGAGCTCAGGAGAAAAATCCCTGCACAGCATAGGCAGTCTCAGGATGGTGGGCTCCTGTCCCCCTCCATGGGGGCCAAAGGAGCTGGTGCAGGCTGACTTTACAGGCCACTCATTCAGAGACTTGGGGACTCCAAGTCCCCTTGTCCCACTGAGCCAGGGTCTGCAACAGCCTGAGGGGGAAGGGTCAGCCTCCTCCTGACCAGAGTCCCCCATCAGTACCGAGTCCCTGTCAAGGATCCACCCCAGCCCACAGGGACATTGGGCACCCATGGAGGCCAATAAATCGACTACCTTGTTGCGGGTCTGGGTCTGCCCAATGAGGATGAGGGCATTGGAGGAGATGATGGACAGGCAGAAGTTGATGAGGATGACAGAGCGCTCCGAGCGGATGTACCTGTGTGAGGATGGTGGCTCGTGGTTAGCACTCCTTGGACTTCGTCTTCGAAGGAACCAAGAGCCTGCGGTCACAGCACCAAGACCTGTGCCCCAAACCCTCCATGACGTCACTCATGGTCATCATCACCACTACCATCATCACTCCATCACCACCTGCAATGCCTCATTCACCAGCACAGCACCGCCTCCAACACCTCTATCATCACCTGTATCACCACGTCCAACACCAACACCTCTATCATAATTCCAACACCCCTATCACCACCACCACCTCCAACATCTCTGTCATCACCTCCACCACCTCCAACATCTCTATCACCACCATCATCACCACCTCCAACACCTCTATCATATCTTCAACACCTGTATCATCACCACCACCAACACCTCTATCATCACCACCAACACCAACACCTCTATCACCACCTCCAACACCTCCAACACCTCTATCATATCTTCAACACCTCTATCATCACCACCACCAACACCAACATCATCACCACCACCAACACCAACACCTCTATCACCACCACCACCACCACTAACACCTCTATCATCACCTCCAACACCTCCATCACCACCTCTAACACCTCCATCACCACCTCCAACACCTCCATCACCACCTCCAACACCTCTATCATATCTTCAACACCTCTATCATCACCACCACCAACACCAACACCTCTATCATCATCACCATCACCACCAACACCTCTATCATCACCTCCAACACCTCTATCATAATTCCAACAACTCTATCACCACCACCATCACCAACACCTCTATCATCACCATCATCACCTCCAACACCTCTATCATCACCATTGTCACCTCCAACATCTCTCTCATCAGCACCACCTCCAACACCAACATCTCTATCATCCCCTCCAACACCTCTATCATATCTTCAACACCTCTATCATCACCACCACCACCAATACCTCTATCACCACCTTCAGCACTATCACATCCACCACCATCAGCAACATCACTGTCATCACGACCACCATCTTCATCACCACTACTGTCACCACCTCTATCACCTCTTGGCATCATCACAATCACCTTCACCACTGTCCCCACGAACATCTACACTCCCATCACCACCACCATCACCATCACAACCACCACCATCACCTCTCCTCTACCACATACCAAATCACGGCATACAGTCGGGGGCATACATTCGGGTACCAGGAGAGCACGGGGGGTGGGGGGAAGGGTTCACTGAGTACAGTTGTCCCCTCCTGTTGGGATGGGTCATCCTTAGAGAGGGCATCTTCATCGTGCATGCCCACTCCCTCTCACTACACCCTTTGGACACAGCTTGCTCCCGGGTTCCACTTTCTGCCCACTCTTGGCTTTCACCCAGCAGTGGTACCCCTGTCTGTTTTGGCAGTTGGGCACTGATCCTGGAATTTCGGAGCTTGAACCACTGCCTTCTGGTGCCTCTGCCATCAGGAAAGACAAGAGGGTGAATGTGTTCCTGGGCATGGGAAACCACACCTCCCCCAGCCAGGATCATCGACCTCTCGCCCAAGCGCTGGGAGCAGCAAGTCGTCAATTCTGATCATCCGGGCAGCCGGGCAGCAAGTGATGGTAGCAAGTCCATTCAGGTACACCAGGAGTCTGGGCTTGGTCCTGGCAGATCAGTGCCCTGACAGGGTGACCTTGAATTTGCCCTTGCTGTCCCAAGCTGTGTCCCAGGGGCCACTGAACTGGGCACAAGCGGTAGGGAGATGGGACACACCACAGTCACATGTGCACAATCTCACACGCAGGAACACATGCTGTCCCATGAGGCTGGGCACTCATTCTGACACACAAACACACACCCACTGGCTCAGACAGGGCTCTGCCCGCCTGCCTCCCCACCTCCCCACCCCGTCAGTCACCTTCCGGAGCCCAGTTAGAGGGACAGGGAGCTCCTTCGTGGGCAGCCTTGGGGTTAAGGGTGCATGGGCCGAGACCCAGGGCTCAGGAAGTGCTGTGTGTCACAGTGTCCCACTCCACTGCACCTCCTTGTGTGGCCGCCAGAGGGCACACTGTAGTGAGTTCAGCTTTTGGGGCAAAGACTATGAGCTGGCACCCACGGGGAACACTTGCTCATTGGGCAGGGGCCCGTGTTCACCCTGCCCCTGTATCTGTATGCCCCCACTCGTCAGCATCATGTGACTGCCAGGTGGTTGTGGGAGAGGTAGTCAGCACCGGGCAGGAGTAGGACAGGTGATAAGGAAGAAGGGACCCGTGTCCCGGCACCCACCTCCACACGGAGACATAGATGATGATGAGCATGAGAAGGGTGAGTGAAGATACTCCACAGCCCACGATGAGGGCCACCGACGGCACAGCCACCTTCTCCATGGTCTGCAGGTCCCACCGCGGACAGGGAGAGTGCAGGTCAGGGGCCAACCCACTCAGGCCACCCCCATCTGCTACCCCCAGTCTCCCAACACGGTGCACCCAACCTCGTGCCCAGTAGTTCTGCACTTCCTCCCACCCCTCAGAGCCTCTCGCACCTGCACCCCCAGTCGGCTTCGGCACCCCTTCCCCGGGCCAGGCCCTTATGCAAAGTTGCCCTCCCTGTCCCACTTTGGGGCCTTTGCACTGTCCCTCCAAACCCTCTTCCCTCACCCCACCTCCATTTGGAGCACCGATGAGTGCTTGCTGATGGGACTCTCACCCACAGACAGAATCATGCCCCATGTCACCGGCCCACACTGTGTCGCTGCACATGCAGGCAGGATCATGGGGAGACTGCCCTGAGCCTCGTCTCCAGCCAGCGGCTCTGGGGAAGTCTGGAGAGGCTTTTTAGGGGCTGGCCCCGCCTGACACTCCATGGACCAGTCCTGCAGATGCTAGCTGACTCCTCAGGTGGGGCAGCTCACCCCCTCAATGCCTCCATCCCCATCCCTGCTCTGAGCTTGGCCCTCAGGGTCAGCTCTCCCTGACACCGCTGCTTGTATCCCTTCAACAGCATCATGTACCTGCACTGGGCTCCCATCCACATGCATCTGTTCCTGCCCCTCCTCCTCCAGGAAGCCCTCCCTGACTCCCAGGCCTCTCTGCGTGTTACTGCTGGAGTGACCACCTGGTCCTGCAGCTGCAATGCTGCTCAGTGTCCTGTGATGCTGCCAGGTCTGGTATTGACCAGAGAGTCCAGTTCAAATACCGAGTCCCCATCTGAGGACTGGCTTGACCCTAACTTCATGAGGTGACCTCAGACATGGTTACTAACCCTGGGCCCCAGATCCCATGGGTGAAGTGGAGTCATCAGGGCTGCTATATTACCCCCCAGGGGAGGGGTACCTGGGGACAGTCACACTTTCCCAGTTCTGCACCCTCATGACATCTCCTCCCTCACTGGCCACCAGCACCCTGGGCTCCGGTCTCACCAAGGGTCTGACCACCTCTGTTCCCAGATCAGAGTGGTCGCTGAGTACCCACTGACAAGGGTCCATGCCACGTGAGGGCCTCACTCGGCCCACCCACCATCTTCTACCTGTCTGTCCCCTCCGGCTCTCCTCTTCCTTCCCCCTCTGAGCTCTTCCATCCCCACCCCAGGTCAAGATGAGACATGAGGTCATAGGCTTTTACTCGAACCGCCCTCCTGACCTATGGCTGGTCCCTATGACAAGGACCCCATGTCCTCCCAGGAGGCCCTAGACTAGCCGAAGCTGTTGGGGCTTTGTAGACAGGGTGGCCTTGCCTGCAAACGCTGCCCCAGCTGTCCACACCATGCTTTGTTAGCCCTGCCAATGCATGTCAAGTGGGGCCATCCCACCGTGTCCTCGAAGGGTATGAGGCTCTGAGGAGGGGAGGGAACTGGAGTCCCAGAACCTATCAATTCACAGTTTTACCAACAGAGAAACTGACCCAGGACTGACGGAGGAGATGAGGAGGACCCCAGCAACCATCTCCAGGACACTGACCCCAGTCCACAGCCAGTCAAGTACCCGGGTCACAGACGGCTGGGCAAGTGGCTCACACCTGCTCCGGGCGGTTCCTGCCCTGACCTCGTGCCATCTGCCTCCGTCTGTACTCATTAGGTCTGGCAGTCTAGCCACGGCCTGCCTGCCTGCTCCCTCCTCCTCCACCTGGCTCATCCGTTACTCCTGGCAGTCCGAGCTGGCAGAAAGGCAAGGTGTCAGGGATGCCAGGCTGGACTGGAGACCTCCGGGGTAAGGGTGAGTACAGACAGCACCAGGCCAGCCTGAGCCACCCTGGGCCTTTGCACAAGCTGGCTCTCCTTGCTCGATGCTCTTCCCTGACCTTCACAAGGGGTGGAGGTGACTCTTCTTTCAGGTTAGATGCCCGACCACCCAATCTGAACCAGCTCCTCATCTCTCTGCCCCAGCCTCTCCTGATCCACTCTAGAGCACTCCACCCAGCCCCCATGCCAACCCTTGCTTGTTGCCTAGTTACTGTCGGTCTGCTTTCACTGCATGAGTCTCCAGTCTTCTCCCGGGCCCTCGACACACCCTAAGCCCCCCCACCCCAAAAGCCTAACTCTTTCCTTAAGTGCCAACTACAACCCCATCACTACTTCAACACTATCTAGACTCCCAAATGTGCAAGACTGAGCCCTGAGCCAGGTCACACACTGAGCCCTAATCCCAACAACACTCTGAGCCCTGGACCTGGTTACAACCTGTGCCCAGATCCTGGCCACACAGAGCCTAGATCTTAGTCACGAGCTGAGTCCTGACTCTGGTCATAGGTTGAGCCCTGATCCTGGTCACACACTGAGCCTTGATCCCAGTAACTATCTGAGCCCTGGCCCTGGTCACACCCTGAGTCCAGATCCTGGTCACATGCTGAGCCTTGATCCTTTTCACACACTGAGCCCTGGCCTAGATCACACAATGAGCCTTGATCCCCAAAATACTCTGTAAGTCCTGACCCTAGTAATATTTGAAGCCCTGACCTTATTTACACCCTGAGCCCAGATCCTAATCACATGCTGAACCCTGATCCTGGTCACACACTGAGTCTTAACCTTGGTTACACACTGAACCCTTATCCCAATAACTTTCTGAGCCCAGGCCCTGGTTACACCTGAGCCCAGATCCTGGTCCCAGGCTGAGCCCAGATCCATCACTCACGGAGTCCTGACCTTGGTCAAACTGGGAATAGTTTCAGCACTGCACAGAAACAGTAACAACTGTTCTTACAGGAGGGTAAACACACCACTGTGAAACATACCACCAGTTTCGCCTCCACCATGTCCCCAAGACTGGTGTGACCTAGAGGTCATACAAGCTTCCCGAGATCTTGGCAACAGCCCAGCGGATCAGCACCCCACCTGTCTGGGTCTCTCTCCCTCGCTCTACACCCCTCACCCTAGATAGCATCCTCTCCTGGGCCCTTGTCTGAATTCTAGGTCCTTGAGGTTCACTCCATACCTGCAGGGCACCCTGCAGTTATTCTAATCCACACCCGCACTGTGGCCCCAATGCACTCATCTGGCCCCCACGGGGCAGAAACACACAGTGTTCCTTGTGCCCAGCCCTGCTGGCCTCTGCCCTCCTCCATGCCTGCTGGCCACTCTGGCCTTCACACCTGGGACCTCTGCAGAACCCCATCTCGCTTGCCCACTGCTAGCCCTCACTCCAGTCTCCACCATGGCCCCCCACTGCCCTTGGGATGAACACCAAGCTCTGGCCCTAAGCCAAGCCTAGCGGGCAGCCCCTGGACCTTACCTTTTCCTGATCCCCTCTCTTACCCCGCAGGCCCTCCAGCTTCTTTCCTCCACTCTTCTGGGAAAACTTCTCCCAGTGAGCTCCAGCCCCTCAGAGCCCCACTCCAAATCTCCCAGAGAACTTGTCTGCAAGTTATCCCCAGGAGGGGAGAGGGCTAAGGGTGCGTGCCCTAGATGTGCTCTAAGAGCAAGGTTCTTCTGCCAGAGGCCACACAATCGCTGCTGCCAGCCAGCCTTCTTCCGGACCCTGCGCTGAGCCCACCCCACCCCCACTCCCTTGGGGGAGGGGCAGACAAGACCAGTTACCATGATTACCACCTCCCTTGCAGACAGGGAAGCCCACAGCCTCAGCTCAGTCTTCTCCTGCCTTTGAGGGTGCGGCAGGTGTGGCAAGCCCCGACTTCCCCAGCCAAGCAAACCCTTCACAGATACAACATCTATGCCCTGCTACTTCCCAACGTCAGCTGCACCTGGCTAAGGCCTGCTCTTCTTATTGGGAGAACCCTAGTTAGGCCTCTGGGGGCTCAGCCAGGTGGGACAAGCCCAGGACTGTACTCCAGTGAGGTTCCTCTGAGTGTCTGCAGAGGCCTGGAGCAGTGTCCCACCGGCCCCAGGGGGCAGAGCAGAGTTCCCCAGCCTCTGCAAAACCAGGGCCAAGCACCCCCAAAACACACTAGTGTGTTTGCAGGTCCAGTGGCTACAGCTCCTCAGTCTGTCGTCCCTACCTGCTGCCTGTGTAGACCCCACTTCAGCTCTGAGCCGAGGGCCGAGGGACTCGGTGAGAGAAGAGCTCTGGCTCTTCCCTCCTTCGTGGGTCCATGGGAGCCTCCCCAGCCCCAGGTTTTCCTGGAGCCATGGACAAGGGAGCCTACAGCCCCAGTGGGTCAAGTCCGACATCTAGAGCCCCAGGCAGTTTGCTGGCCCACGGTGCCATTGCCATAGAAACCGACAGCCCCCACAAGAATCACGGGAACAGAAACGAGGCCCCTGAGACGATGGGGCCTTTCTGGGGAGGGTGGACCTAAGCCAGGCCCAGCAGCCTGGGCCTCAAGGGGCCCCTACCTGGGGACACGGGCCCTCCCCAGTCCAGCTCCGGGGAAAGCTGTCACCTTCTCAACTCCTTCCCCCCAGTGGACCCGGCAGAGACTAAGCCACGGCCAGCTGAGGGGTCACAGAGCAAGTGACAGGACGGTGGCCCAACATGCTGTCGTCCAGGTCCCAGAGCCCAGCCTCACTGCCCCCGCGGACCAAGTCTCTCCAATGGTCACAGGCGCGAGGGGAGTGAGGCTGGCTGGTGGCGGGGAGCCAGGACACAACCGGCAGTCACTCCGCGGGGTCCCAAGCCCGTCCCCTAACTCCACATCGTTCAACCGGCTCCCACCCACCCTCTCCGGAGGTCTGGGATTCCGGTCCCTGCGGCCGGTCCTGGGAAGCTGCCAAGCTCACCGACCCCTCCGATTCAAGAAGGGTCCACTCGGCGGCCCAGACCCCTCCTCGTACCGGTGACCGCAGGCGATCGTTCCTGCCGCCCCCGCCGCCCGCCCGACCTTGCGCCCTCCCGCCGGCGGGCCCCTGTCGCGACCGCCCGCGCGGTGTCTCACCGCGTCGGCGCTGAGCTGGGCTAAGATGGCGAAGGTGGAGAGCCGGTCACAGAGGCAGCGCGTCCGGAGGGCGTCGAGGGGCACCGTGCGGCAGCCGCGCCACGACCAGGGCCCGAGCTGCGGGGGGGCGGAGGGGGAGGGG